TTTGTCCACTATTGCTAATGAGAATTCTGATGCTAATGTTCCTTAGGACATTAGCTATATGATCATTATGGAAACTTTCAAGGATTTTTTCTTTATCCTTGGGTCTCTTTTCAATTATCTGACTTGGTCATTGGTAGGCCTTTCATCCAAAGACTCATGATTTCTTTAGCTGGGGGATTTTTCTTCTATTATTACTTTAATTGTTTTTTCCACTCCACTGCCTCTGTTCTCTAATTCCTCTTTTTGAATCTCCTTGTCTAACCCTCTACTATCCCTTATTCTCAATTTTTCCATCTGTTTTCATATTTTATATCATTAATTCCCTCTTCACTTATATGCATTTGTTCTTTAATCCTTGTGCATTTACTTCTGGTCATATTTTTAATTTCTAAGAACTCTCTTGTATCCTCTGATTGCTCTAATAGCAGAGTGTCAGTTTGTGGTTACAACATATATAGAACCTCCCTAAACATATTAGATATATTTTTTTAATTGTCTTTCCTGAATTATCTGTTTCCTCTGGGGCATGTTTTATTTCTTTATCTTGGTCCTTCTCTTTAATGCTTTGTTTCTCTCAAAATGTCTGCAGATCCTTGGCTATCCTTTCATGTTTATAAATGAAGGACTAGACTGATTAGTGTATGTAATTAGCTTGAGTTTTTCCTGTAGTTATGTAAGTGTGCTTCTCCATGGTCCTCTCTGAACGGGAGGTCTGATGCAGTCTATTTGTGAGTTACTGGCAAGTGTTATATTAGGGTATGTAGGTATGGAAAAGCATGTAACATAGAGATTCCTCTCCTTCCAGTTATCAAAAGTATGAGAAATTTACTCATGGGATGGAGAATTTTAATGTATTTTCTTCCACTGCAGAACTACTTTTCTTTTTTCCTCTTCTTTATATCTGTGGTAGAAATCCACAGTTAACTCGGGTTCTGCTCTGCTTCTCTCTCAGGCCCCTATACCCATATCATGAACTTTCCTCAATAAGGCAGTTTACTTTCTCTAGAAAATTATCTGGTTTTAGCTTAGAAGCAAATGCAGCTGCTGCTTTTTGCTGACTATAAGAGGGAGGCTGCCCCTGCTGTTTCAAATGTAGAATTTAATTAATATACCCTTAAAGATAACCCAGGACTCCTTCCTACTTCTTGTATATATTCTTTCAGCCCATTTTCACTGGAGCTACTTCTACCTTCCTAGGAGTTTTCTCTTCCACTTGCTTTAAGCTGTGGCTTCTTTTGCTCTGATCAATCTGACCTTATCTGCTTTCTATCTTCCATGAATTCCTCACAATGGTTGATATATGTCAAGTTTTTGTTTTGGAGCACTGTTTTAATTTATTTGTTAATGTATCTTTTCTGAAATTAAGACGTTTGGGATAGAAAGAGAGATGAGCACATGAATTCAGTCCACTATCCTGATTCAATTTCCAGAGGAATCTTTCTAAGACGCTTGTCTACAATGCATATCCAACTACATCAATCTTCTATTTAAAATACTCCCTTGGCTCCAAAGTCCAAGTACTCTGGCCTGACATACTGGATCCTTAACAATCTGGCTTTTGTTCATGCTGTCCCTCAGACATGAAAGCACTGCCCTTTTCTCTGCCTGGTATCATTACCTGTGTTTACTTGACACAATATTATAAATCCTTGTTAACATGTTCTGATTCATCACTAAATTGTGAGATCAAGAACAAAGACCTTACCAGTCCTTGACTCTTCAGCACACAAAGAGCCTATCACATGGTAAAATGGTAGGTGTTCATTTTATAAGTGACAATCAGGCACTAAAATGCCATAGAATTTTAGAGTCAGATCTCACCAATGAGCTACACATAACAGAATTTTATTAGAGCAGAAAGGGACCTCAAAGATCATGTTTGTTAAATGAACAAACCTTTAGGGCCTAGCAACTCAGTGCAAACTTCCCTGTACTACCAAGCAGAATAAATGACTTCATCAAATACGATCCCTTTGTACATTATTCATACCTCTCTTGCAGCAGCCCTTACCTCCCTAATCAGACATTAAGTTTTTTTTTTTTCTCAAGAGCTAAAATAGTGCACTTTCATTTTTATGTCACCTATACTTTGGCACAAAGAAGGTGCTAAGGAAATAATTATGGTATAAGTGAGTAAATGAATGCTCAGGAGAACAGAATTTTGTACTGGTTTCTACTACTAACTCATTTGAGGGTAGGGAGCTAGTCACTTACTCTTTCTGAGTTTCAATTTCTTAATCTTTATTATGGAGATAACAATTCTGTTTGATTATTTCATAAATCAAGTAGAATGATCTGTGTGAAACCAATGTGGAAAACAATGACATGCTGCCATAATACAAACCATATGCTCCAAATAAAACTAGTAAGGAAATACAGAGTATTGAACTACAGGGACAAATGTTCTGAATTGGAGGAGAAAAATGTCCTTGACAGCCTTGAGTGATTTTAAATGTACACACTAAACCAGCACAGGTTTTTACCAAGCAGGTGTTATCCTCTCTGCCATATGGCATGAGCCCCAGGGCTCTTCCTTCTCGCTAACAAACAACGTAACTATGGCTTTACTGCAGTCTCCTCTATAAGACCTCTTTGACATCTTCTTTCTCTGTTCCCTGTCACAGTGAAAGAAAACCCTGGGCTGGGATTCAGAAGACCCCAGAGTTCTAATCTGGTTCTAATTATGGGTCTTCAAGATAGTCTGTTTTTCTACCTGTAATATGGGGGATAAAAATACTTCCTTTACAAGGTGATTGTGAGGACTAATTATGCTAACATATATAAAGTTCCTATCACACTGCCTGGCACGTATTAGGTACCCAATAAATGATAGTTGTCATTCTTCCTACAAAAGCACAAAGACATTTGAGCCACAAGGCACAACACGGCTCTGTTTAGTTCAATAATTTACTGTTCAAAGACTCATGTTTGCAAATTCCTCCCCACCTTTTAATAACATCTCTTCCATTTGATGAAAAGCAGCATGAATCAGGGAAAAGCAGTAGATTGGGAATCATATAGCTATTGCTATTAACCCTTCTCTATTTCAGTTTTATCATCTACAAAACAAGGATAATAACCCACCTCACCAAACTCCTGTGAGGATTAAAAGAGATAGTGAGTAAGAAAGGACCCAAAATGTCACAAGGCACTGAACATGTGAACATTTTTATATATTCAATAAGAGTATTAACAACTCAGAGTATACTGCTGGAAGCATGGTTAAAAGTATTTTGAAGGTGACTCAGTATTGCATTAGAACTTACTACTCCCCGTTTAAAATTCTTTAAGCTTCTTATTACATTTTTTTTTCTTTTTAGGCTAGTCGAGCAATTATTACCTTTAAGATAAAGTCAAACTCCTACATAATTTGTCCTGCTTACCACTCCTCATCACCCACCTCTATTCCCTTCATGCTTCACATTCCAATTATATCAAACTACTTGCAGTTCCCTGCATAAGCATACCTTGTGAACCTCCTTCCCCACGCACATGCTGTTCTCTGTCTGGAATAGCCTCATCTCTCCTTAATTCTTGCCCTAGATAACTAAATCATTCAGCTCAGACTTTACCATCAGGAAGCTTTCTCTAACACATTAAAACTTTCATTCAGTAAATAATTACTGAATGCCAGAACTTGCCAAATGCCAAGGATATAGCAATTAACAAGTCAGGCAGAGTCTCTGGCCTAATGAAGTTTAGCATGCTGCATTATAACTCTCTGTTTGTGCCTTCAGGTCTCCTACAAGACTGGGAGGTTCTTAGGAATTGGGACAATGTCTGATCATCTCCATATTGCCTCTTCTTCACACAGGACCTGGCATAGAGCAGGGGCATTTGAAAATGTTTAGTAAATCAATATAACATAGCCACCTTTGTACAAAAGACAACATCATAATACAAATAGCAGTATTTTCTTATATGTATCACACTTTACTATTTATCCTTTACTTATCCTTTCAAACACATCTCATTTTTATCCTCATAATTGCCCAGGAAAATAGAATTTCTACATTGAGAGAGACAGAAGGACCTTCGATGTCATCTACATTTACTTCCCAGCCAATTCTTCAATGTTTCCTATAACATCCCTTTGAGCGACAGGGCATTCACTAGAACTTCAGAGAACAGGATGACTGACCTTAAATGAATAGAAACTGTTCCCTTCAACATGAGTCCTAATCCTGGTTTTGTAGACCCTACTGACCAAAGAGAGGTGATGGAGTTTGGATGTGTTGTCCACTACAAAACTCATGTAGAAATTTGATTCCTAGTGTGGCAGTGTTGGAAACTGATTGAGTCATGGGGCAGATCCCTCATGAATGGATTAATGCTCTCCGGGGGGAGGGGAGATTAATGAGTGAGTTCTCGCTCTATTAGTTCCCACGAGAGGTGGTTGTTTATAGGACCCTGGCACCTCCTCTCTCTCTCTCTTGCTTCTTCTCACCATGTGATCTGCCTGAACTTGCCGGCTGCCTGCCACTTTCTGCCATGAGTAGAAGCAGCCTGAGGTCCATGCCAGATGCAGCTGTCCCAGAATCATAAGCCAAATAAACCTCTTTTCCTTATAAATTACCCAGTCTCAGGTATTTCTGTTAAAGCAATACAAAACAGGCTAATACAAGAGGAAATTCCCTTCTAAATTCAGATATCTGTAAACATGTCCAGGTAAGGTGGAATGTATCATTCTCATTTTATTGATGAAGAAACTGGAACTCAGAAAGGTAAATTGCTTTCCCAAGGTTCAAAGCTACAAATGAAAAAACTGAGCCTAGTAGCTACATCTTCTGGTTCTGAGGTTAGAATTTCTAGAACATTAAAGCTGGAAAGCCCAAAGCTGCTAAGTCCAATTCCTTTATGGTATAGATAGGGATTCTGAGGCCCAGGGTTGAGTAGTGACCAAAATGAGTGTTTCCCAGCCCAGGCTCTGCTTCTACCATACTTTCTTGATCCTTACCTCCATATCTGCCCATATCAGAATAAAGGACATAAAGACTTACCAAAGTGTTAGAAGAATTATAATCCTCAGCTGACTTATCTGCAAAGAAAGAAAGACACGGGACTTAGTAAGCAATTATGGTTTAATCCTTTCTTGAGAGCTAAGGAAGTCTATCTGGTCAAACACTTGCCAGGTCCAGAGAATAATACGGGTTGAGTATCTATCTGAAATGCTTGGGATGAGAAGCATTCTGAATTTTGGATTTTTTTTTAATTGTGAAATATATGCAGAATACCTACCAGTTAAGCATCCTGAAATGCTCCAATGAGCATTTCCTTTGCATGTTATGTTGGTGCTCAAAAAGTTTTGGATTTTGGAGCATTTCAGATTTTTGAATTAGGGATGCTCAACCTGTAATATGACCAGTACTATGGGCCAGACATCATGGTTAGCACATTATACATGTCTCTTCCTTTAATCCTCACTACAGTTCTGAATACTATTATTATATACACTTTTACAAATTTAGAAACTGAAGTTCAGAGAAGTTAAATAATTTTCCCAGGGTATACAGATTAAACAGCAGAGTCAAGATTTGAATTCTGGTCTAATTCTAAATACTATGCTAGAACTATATCCACATCATCGGCTATATCATCATCAGGCTTCAATGACCAAAGGAATTTCTTGCATTCTAAGAGAAGGGAAAAGAATTCATGGCACCATCCTGCACCATCCATGCCAAATCATGTCCAGCCTACAGTTTCAGCTTTCAGAAAGGATCTTTCTATATCCATGTCTATTCCTAAGGGAGAGAAAGACTGAGGCTTAGGAAAAGAGAGGTATTAATCTTGTCAAGTCTAATTAAAGACAGCGTCTTGTTTTCTAAGAAAAGAATCAAGCTCCTGAATGAAGCAACTACCATATTTCATTGATTCTGGGATGCACATTTCTTTCACATTAACATCTCTGACATAGAGATGTGTTCCACAATCAAAGGCATTTCACTGTTTAACTGGCAGCTCTTTTTCTTAGTGGAATACAAAATAATGGTACGACTTACAACCAATGATATCTTGGACTTAACGAAATATGAAATGGAGGGAGACTCAGTGGAGATCTCAGTAAGAAAAGAAGTTTAAAGACCAAGTATCATCTTTGGTTTTGTTCTTAAATTCCTAATGGTCCAAGGAGAAACTGACTTTGCCAGTTCACCACCAATGAAATTAAGGAGAAATATTTCATCAAATCCAACATATTTCTCACTAAGAACCAAGCCTAGAGAAAGTCCAAGATCCCAATTACACCAAATAAGAAAATGCCAGACACAGCTTCTTTGGCCCTACAGTAAATCATGGACCCACAAAGCTGGAAATAAGGCAAGCTATGACAACATGTTCTTAAAACAATCCTGAATGGCCAGCTATACCTTAGAGAAATCAATTCAGGATATACTTTAAACATAATTCATTTGTTTTTCTTATCCAAAAGAGTATTAGCTTAGGTGGAATGCAACACTGTGTCTTCACTGCACTACCTCTAACTTTACACACTGCTAATATTTTTGAGGACTGGGTATTCTGGTAATAAACATACCTCTTACACCATATAAAAAACAAATAAATACTCATCTTTTTAAAAGTGATATACAAGCTCTGTATATCAAAATCTAATTCCAAAGCACAGAATGACCAAATAGAAACTTCCAACCCTTAAATTTTACAAATGAGGAAACAGGTTCAGAAAGGGAAAGAAACTGGCTCAAGGTCACATAAGTCAGTGGCAAATTAGGGCTAAGACCTAGTTAGGTTGTTAATCTAGTCAGTCTCATCTACTTTCCCCCTACTTTTCACATTAGCTATTAATTGGTACAGAAAATTAAGTGTTGAAAAAATAGGAAAGTTGACAAAAAATTGGCATGGAGGGTTGTGCAAACTGTTTAAAGGCCCAAGTTGAAAACAAATTTCCATCACAAATCAGCTGAGTCTCCTTGGGTAAGTCATTTAATTTCTCTGAGCCTAATTTGAGTCTATAAAATGGGGTAATAGTCCTTGCTCTGCCAACCCCCCAAGGCCATCATAAGAATCACATCAGATAATACACATGTGAGCACATATAAATTGAGGTAGTGTTATCATAACCAATAGTGTGAGAGGAAGGGAAATGGGGAAAGGAGAGATGTGACATTAAAAATAAATGGTGCTGAATATACAATTTTACCTAAGTTGGCCCTTGTCTTCAACTTTTAGGAAATTAAAAATCCTACACATACACCTATATACATATGTGCACAAATTATACACACAAAAGTAGATATATGCACACAAATCTATACATACATACTTAATATTATTCATATATGCATGCACAGATGAACATACACACAATTACTTGAATGTGTATATCTATATACATATTCATTCATGAATACTTAAGTAGATTTTAATTCTAATCATATGCAAACTCACAGAGCTATGCCTCCATAAACATACATGCACAAAGAAAAACAGATTCTTCTAAAGACTTCATTGCTGAGGCTTTCAAAGACAGCTTGTAAACTGATGTCTCCAAGACAAACTCCTTAAACATAAGGTCTAATTTCATGACTAGAAAACTTTCCTATTCAGTACCCTCCACCCCAATTCCTCCTTAGAATGATCCAGTCCCTCAAAGGAAGAAGTGAGACAGACCCAGCAGGGCCAGATGAGAGGAAGGAAATACTGCTGGGAACATACATGACCCTCTCCTGAGTACCACCATGGCAGCAACAGTAAAGCTGCAGTCTGTCATCCTCACCATCTGTCCCCTTTGATACAAGCCAGATATTGGCTGGGGAAAGCATTCTTCAAAATTAGCCAGTTCATACTGGTTGTCACCTTCCCCAACAATACTGCCCTTTGAAGAAGGCAGCTTGAGCAAAGAGCACCAGCACCACACTGAGAATTGAAAGACTAGCCCTGCCACTTAATTTAGCCACATTAGAAAGGACTTTTTTTGGCTTTTCTGTCTGCAAAACAAAGCAAAGCTGATACATTCTAAGGTACTTCTTGGACTAATGTTCTAAGATGCTATATAAAAGGCAAGTTTTCAGAAATATGGGCCTCTCAGAAGTTATCTTAGAGAAAAAAAGAATTTCTCTGCTATGGAAAGAGGTGCTCCAAATAAAACTATTAGAGGCAAGCAGTAAATTCAAAAGGTGTTGGTCTAGGAATTAGGAGAACTGGGTTTTAATCCCAATTCTGCTATGAAAAACACTATCAAATATACAGTCCATATAAAAACAGCACATCTAAAGAACATTTATTATTATTGGCCAGCTTTTCATTTGACTGATAAAAATTAGTCCCTTGAGGAAGAAATCAGACCTGCCTACTTGAAAGATACATATTGACATTATTAAATAAAAAATGATATTGATAATAATGATGATAATAATAGTTACAGTTCCATAATGTTGTTTTTACAACCTATAAAGAACTTTCACATCAATGAGCTCATTTATTCCTTACTATAACCTCTTGAGATACGAACTATTATTCCCATTTTGAGGCTCAAAGAAATGAAGTAACTGTTAGAACCTCGTGAGTGTTAGAATTTGGACCTTCTACCACAAAGCCTGTGTCCTTTATGTATAATACCAAGCTATTTTTTTAAAACATGAAGTTTCAGGAAAGAGAAAAGAAAAAAGAAAAAGACTAAAAAAGCAAAACACACACACACACAAAAGTAAGAAAACAACAAAAACAACAACAAAATCCAAAAGAAAAATGCAGTTTCAGAGTGAAGACTCAAGTTTGATACAAAAACCCATCATCTTGGATCTCAAATTCCAAATTTCATCTTAATGAAAGTACCACCTCTACTCTTTCCAATATTTTTTTCTCTCACCCCAGACCAATAGGTATGTGGAGCTTTTCCACCCAGATTAAAACCTTCTATTGCTGAGATTGTACCTGGACACAATCCTCATACCTGTAAAGCTCATGTACTTCTGGCTGTTGGAGGTCTTCTTTGAGTTGTAAAATTCCAACACATCCAGAACTGCCTGTGGGTTTTTCTTCTGCTCCGACTTTGTGATATTTGATGTCTGAAGCAAGCGGGCCCACTGCTCTGGCATCCCCTATAAGACACACATGGAAAGCTATCAAGAAGGCACAGTCACAGGGGACTCTGAAAGAACATCAGAGCTAACAGTAATATCTGCTAGCAGCTAAAGATGAGTTTGTTAGTCATTCCTTTCTCTCCACACCCTCAGAGTTTACACGTCTCTCCTTATATGTTCTTTCTCGTTGTATTAGCCATTTCTTGAGATGTTTGCTCCTTCACCACGCTATACCTCCTTTAGAGTAGGTACAAGGTCTGATGTGTGCTGCATCATCAGCGCCCTGCACAGAGCCTGCTACCAAGGGGCCACTTTAACAGAGGTTTATTTAGGAATGGAGATTGAAAGGCATTTCTGGGTATAAGTTTGGAGGTGAGAAAAATGTCCCTTTAATGAATGTAGGAAGATTGTAATGAGGGTCTCAGGCAGAGACAGAAGCATCAGGAAGGTGAGAAAGGACTGAATCTAACAGAACTCTAAAAGACCTTTCTAAAAGGTCTTTCTTGTGACCTAGGACTTACCGTAAACTCCCCTGTGACAGCATCAAAACCGACATGAATTGTGTGCTCAAAATCTGAAGGAAGAGAAATCTCTGGCCGCTCCTTCTCCTTCTTTTTATTTGCTGCAAGAGAAACAGGGAAAGGGAAATAAAAAACAGGAAGATTATTAAGTTTTTAGGCTTCTTTTAGCTCTTTATTGAGCTTTAGGCTCCTTTAAAGGGCAAGGTCTGTTGACTTCACATATGTATTTACAGAGCCCAACCTCAAACTTGGATTGGAGTATATGCTCAATGCATGTTTAAAGACTTAATCGTTTGTTGAACTAAAGTAAGGGAGGAGCAAAAAGAACATTTGTCAGAGTTAATAGTCCTAGTTCTACCACTAATTAGCCAGTTGATACAGGGCAAGTCATCTCTTCTGTGAAATCCTTCCTGATCTCTAGGTTGGGCAGTTCTCCAGCCTTTCTTCTGTTCCCACATCACCAATACAGTAGTTGCCTATTTTAAGTGTTTATCTTCCCTACCAGACTGGGTTCCAAGTACAGGGGCCATGTTCAATTCATCACAAATTCACAGAGACGAGCATACGCCTGGCACAAAATAAGTGCTTAGGCAGTGAATGAAGAAAGAAACAAATGACCAGACATCTACCTCCAATGGGCAAGGAGTATAGCAATCTGCCTAAGACAGACAAATTCTCTCCAGGGCAGGAATAAATGTTTCCTTTCACCAGCTCTGGCTTAACTTTCACAAAATTTGCTATCTAGCACTCGGCAGCCCTGCTTTAAAACCCTGTTGTCTGGGAGCACAGCACACTGGCTAAAAGAAATTCTGAAGTCCTAATGCCTCTACAGACCTAGCATAACCCCCATGAAAGGCAGCAAAAGGCGGAGGAAAAAACTAGAAGGTCTGGAGTCCAAGCCAGTTTTATCCCTACCCCACCACAGTATATAGTCCAGGATCTCTGCTTTCCCATCTGAACAATAGGGAGAATGGACTAGATGCTCTCAAGCGCCCTTCCAGCTACTACATTCTACAAGCCTATGAAAATAGGAAGATGAGCAATCTCAAAGCTCTGTAGTTAAATTTCTTCCTGAGATGGCATTTAACGGTTTTTAATAGGTATTTCATATCTATTATCTCATAAAATTACTACAATCCTAAGAGGCAATTTTCACTTAGAGATTAGGAAATTGAAGCACAGACTTGCCTACAGTCATTAAGTAATTAAAATCCAAAAGGTTTGGCTTAAAGCCAAGGTCCTTTACATTCTACTTTACCTCCTCTAAAGAATTTCAAGTTGAATCAAGAAAACATACTTTGGTATAATGAGAAGAAATAACATTAAAAACTTACTATGTATATGTACCATGATTTACTTTATTTTCCTTCATTCTTACAATCCTATAAGATCGATATTACTACTGTCATCCTTACAATCCTATGAGATAAATATCACTACTGTCATTTTACAGAGGAGGAAACTGAATGATTTACTAATACAGCTGAGAGCTAGGATTTGAACGGAGGTCTGATTCCAAAGGTTTTTCTTCAGTATCTTAATGAGAACCATTTGCCTACATCCCAATTGCTAGGATTTAAGCTATTTCTGCACTTGGCACTTTCCCTTCCAGAAGCAGCTGTTTTGAGAAAGAGAAGGCTAAGGGTTATATCAGGGCCCAAGTTAAGCAGCCATTTATGACATTAGTCCATCTGTCCTGTTCATAGCTTGAATGTGTGGAACATGTGGCAGGGCTTTGAAACTGCTTTCTGTTCCAAACTGCTTTCTGTTTCTAAATTTCTTCTGATCTAGTCACTTAAAAGGTTTTATGGAAGTATAATTACATTAATGTTTTATTTAGGTTTTAATTTTTATTATATTTTATATATCATTTCTATTGTATATTATTTATATACTTTATAATACAACATCATAGGCATGGACTGTCAACTACAGAAGGGACTTCGGTAATGGAGACCCAGAGAGGGTGGCTCAGAGGATAAGTAGTTTATAGAAAAGAGCCCAGGGAAATAAAATCATTTAACACACGGACATATAGGGTAATGCTGAAGTTGGCTCTGCTTCTACTGGACTCTTTACCCTGCAACCTTTGAACATATCTCACATACTCCCACCTCCAAGTTCACTTTTTCTTCTCCTTGCTTGGAATGCTCTCCCTCTCATTCTCCCTGTCTAAGCCATCTTTTAAAAGACTGGTGCAAGTCCCACTTCTTCCAGAAAGGATTTCCTGACCTTTCCTCCCCCTGTCAATTCCCAAGGTACTGACTCTACTATGCCACCATGCATCTAGCCATTTTCTCTCTTGTATAATTCCTTGCTATTTTTAAGCCTAAAACGTAAGCTTCTTAAAGACCAAAATCATGGCTTCTAATTACAATCATTATACTTCTGAATCTCAACCTAGCACAGAGCTTACTTAGTTCAAAAATATCCTAGAAGGGCCGACCCCGTGGCGCACTCAGGAGAGTGTGGCGCTGGGAGCGCAGCAACGCTCCCGCCATGGGTTCAGATCCTATATAGGAATGGCCAGTGCACTCACTGGCTGAGCGTGGTGCAGACGACACCAAGCCAAGGGTTGCAATCCCCTTACCGGTCACGGAAAAAAAAAAAAAATCCTAGAAAATATTAGGAAGTGACCTCAGAAACCCTGTAATTTCACTTGCTGAGGAAAGAGACCCTGAGAAGTAAACTGACTTGCCCTTAGTCCTAGAGCACATGGTAGTAAGACTCACTTCACCTGATCAAGTCTTTTACTCTTCATTATACCCCCCAATCCCTACTGACTGATTTGACTGGAAGCAACTACTGACTGAAATAACAGTTTAACACAGACCAGATTTGTGTGTGGTACAAGAACAGGAAGGGCCTGGCTGAAGTGATAGAGGAGGGAAGTAGCGGGAAAGGGGAAATCTAGCTGGTAGAATTTAGCCTGGGTGCTGTACAATTTAGTCTCAGTACTCATCAGCTGGGGATCACCAGAAGAAACAGCGTTCTTGAAGTAGAAACGCAAGAGAGAACTGGAGGAGCCATGCAGTTCCAAAGTCACCTGGAACTTAGCCAATCCCTTCTTGGAAGTAACAACCCACCTGCCTTACATGTGTGTAGCCCTTCATGAAGCTCTTTCACACTGTCTCACTGGCTCCTCTCAACAAACCCAAGAGCCAGACAGTATGGATTATCTCCATTTTACAGCTGGACAGACTGAGGTGAGGGAATTAAAAGAACTCTCTACCAGTAGGAAGTCTCTGGGGCTAGGAGTTAGAGGAAGAACGATTCAGTATTATCTTTGCCATTAACTCACTATGTGACCCTGGGAAAGTCACTTTCTCTGAGTTTCAAGTCCTTAATCTGCAAAATCGAACAATAATCCATGCTCAAAGTACAGATGAAAGTATGTCATAAATGACCTTTCTGGAGAAGATAATACCTGAAAGTCATGAAGGATGAATAGGAGTTAGCCAGGCAAAGATAGAAAAGAACATTCCAGAAAGAAACAGAATAGGCAAAGGCCAAGAGGAGTAAACAGTGTGATTTTCCTCCCAGCTTTCCACCTGACCAGCAAGTCAACCAAATTTCATAAACTCTTACTAAGCATGTACTCTGAGCTTGGGACTGAGGGAAGACACAATGGAGAAAGTAAAGCAAACCCAAGATCCTGATGGTCTCATATCCCAAGGCCACAAACCTCAGTCTCCCTGGGACAACTGCTGCTGTAGTAAATTTTTTATGATGACTAGAAATATGGATCTGGAGGAATGTAATGAAAACTTATGCCTACACAAAAACTTGTACATGAATGTTTACAGCAGAATTATTCATAACAGTCAAAAAGTGGAAGCAACCCAAATGTCCCTCAACAGATGAATGGATAAAATGTGGCATATCCATATAATGAAATGTTATTCAGTCATAGAAAGAAAGTCCTGATCCATGCTACAACACGAATGAACCTTAAAAACATGCTAAGTGAAAAAAGCCAATCACAAAAGGCCACATATTATATATGAGGGTATTTTTAAAAGTTCATGGAAAGATTCATATTATCTTTCAATACTACTTTTCAATGAACTTTTTGAAGTACTCTTGTAATTCGATTTATATGAAATGTCCACAATAGGCAAATCCATAGACAGAAAGTAGATTGGTGGTTGCCAGGGGCTGGGAGAAGGGAATGCTAACAGATATGGGGTTTCTTTTTGCAGTGATGAAAATGTACTGAAATTAGATCATTGTAATGGTTGTACAATCTTGTGAACTGAATAAAAACCACTGAATTATATATATATATATTTTTTTCCTTTTTGTCTTTTTTCGTGACCGGCAACGGATCACAACCCTCAGTGTCACGCCCGTACCGGACCGGACCGGCAACGGGATTGCAACCCTCGGTGTTGCACCCGCAACCTCGCTCAGCCAGTGAGCGGCCGGTCTGTATGTGGGATCCGAACCCTCGGCGGGAGCATCGCCGCGCTCCCAAGCGGCGCACTGTAGCAGTGCGCCACCGGGCCGGCCCTGAATTATATATTTTAAGATAGTAAATGGTATGGTACTTGAATTGCATCTCAATTTTTTTAAAAAAGAAAATATAATTTACCATATTAAGAAAATACAGAAAATATATATATATAATCAATTCAATTAACGCAGAAAAAGCATTTGCTGAAGTGTGATACCAATGGTGATTAAAAGCTCTCAGTGAGCCGGCAGCAGCACCAGCCAGTGGAACTGTGCAGCTCCATGCAGCCCCCTCACCCCATCACCTCGGACCCAGGCAGGGGAGGCAGGGGGGACTCCAGGCCCTGCCCCCGTGCCCTGAACCGACACCACACAGGTGAGCCCGCTGGCAGCAGCCAGCAGCAACACCAGCCAACGGAACCACACAGCTGGACACAGCCCCTCACCTAACCTCAGACCCGGGGGGAGCACCAGCCTACGGATCCAACACACCGAGTTTGGCCCAGCAGAACTTCATGATGCTAGGGGCTCATTCTACAATCACAGAGTCTCGAACAGGAACCAAGGTTGTTTAACATAACCACCACCACTCCTACTGTCAAGCAAAAACAATTCACCCCCCACAGTAGCAACCAAGGCCACTCCA